CTCGAAATTTTTATTTGTCGATAAATGCAAAAGGCGCATTTTTATGGCACTGGGTAAAGCATGGTTTGGCAATTTTATGTTCATACCCAAGACGAATATCATCTTTAAGAAGTTGCTGCACACGCTGTCTCATTAGATTTGCGACTAATTTTGCCTTTATTTCATTGGTTGCTAAATGGCGTATACGTTTCTTCTTCCTCCACTGATCTACGGTTGGGATGAGACCACTGCGCTTAATGCGACTATATTTATCAGGGTATTTTAGGTAATTTGAGACCACATTACGGCAACTGTTATCTCGCCAATTTTCTTACCAGAAAGTCTCATTCTTTCAATTTTCTCGCGCTTCTCATATGAAAGTTCACTTCCTGTTGGCGTTTTGAACTAGCAGCAAAACTATGAACACAATTATTTCTTAAAATATGTTGAAAACGCCTTGTTTACCCACGGCGAGATATTTTCTATAGAACACAAATTGAAAATTAATATATTCACTTATCAGCGACAGAAACTCAGATGATAATAACTGCATATATAATTATTTTCCACTGGATTATAAGCTGAACCTGATAATTTCATGTGATGGAACCACAGAGAAAAACGAACGAAGGGGAAAGCATCTAATAAGGGGAGAGTTTGCGTATATATTGTAAACACAAAAATTTTTGGACGGAATAAATACACATATAATTACTTGACAGGCGGTGTAAATAACTATATTATTTTATATACAACGTTGCAAAATTCCGTATACTCGCTAAACATGCAATTTCTCTTTTCGCGTACAGAGTTGCTAAAGTTTTAGTTTTATATTGCGATAGATTTGTCGAGAAACAGAAAGCATAACTTTCCAAACGAAATCCTCTACTTTTTGGACTGATTCATTTGCATAATGAATTCCAACTTCTATTTAGGTAGATATTTTTAGGATATGCTTAATCAAGATCCTTTTCTTTAGCCGAATGAACCTCAGGTGCATTTCATCGAGTGAGTGTGGAAGTCAAACCTCTATGATGGACTTTAGTTCAAAAGTTTCAACATTTTTCTCTTTTAACAGCGTTAAGTTTGAGATTATTATCTCGTACTCAAAAGTTTTAGTAGGTAATTTTGGTAGCTTCGTGGCCACAGCCGCATTTTATCTAAATTTAACCCTTCAGCATACGGGTTTCTTCTGGTATTTGGTAAACATACCTTTTACTAACTTAACGATAGAGCTTTCGTTTTCATTGGGCTAATTAGCTGTGTCTTTAACAATCGCTTTATCGAGTGATAAGTAGAGATCATTGGAATGATGCTTGTTGTGCACGGTTTAGGGGGCACGGTTTGAAGGGAATGATTTGCAATAAGAATTGCTGTGTTAAGCAAGTATTCTCTCTTGGGCTCTTGAGCTTACTGTGATCATTTTGTGAAGTAAGAGGTATTTTTTTGAGAATAGATAAGAACCAAAAAATATAGACGCACATGATCCAAAATTATTATTTCAAAATGCTATTACGGGGTGATGTTACTACACTAGCCCTTCTTCCTATGAGAGATATGTTGTCATAGAAATCTATAAATTTGGAACAGTTGACCTTCATCTCGAAATGTTATCATGAACCGATTTCGACTGCGAAATATTAAAGACCAGACGGTTTTCTTATATGACGGCTTACCTTTCATAGCAAAACTTATATAGGAGCGTTTCAAGTTTTCGCATGTGTTTAACATAGCGGAATTCTATTTCTTCGTCCTTTCCTTTCATATAACGTTGTTGTTGTTTTAAAGTAAGGCGTATTTTATGAAGAAGTCTTACAAATTGCCCGACTCAGACCATTTCTCAATAGCGAATCACAGCCAAACATGTTAATATATCGAATTTTGTCCAAAATATGTGAAAAACCACTACACTCTAGTAGGTTAAACAAAAAACAGAAGCATAAGCATTCAGAAAATAATTCCGAATCGGTTGGATTAATAAAAGACAGGTCTATAATAAGTCCTTCCGGTGAATGTCCGTAATTAGAAATCGGAAAATGTTAGTTTTTAATCCTTTCTGTTGACATTCTGTTTGATATGTAGTAGTGAGTCATACAAAAGGTCCCCGTTGTCTTTTCAGCTTCTTTTAGTAGCTTGCTCTTGCTTTTTCAAATGATGGTGGACCTAAAAGATAATAATTCTTACATATATTCGTGCAAGTGGTGATTTGAATAAATTTGCAGTCTTTTATATAATTGTATGGAAAAGAGGATTTATCTTCCCTTAAACGCATTCTGAGTAGTTTTATTTAGTTTTTAGTGACCTGGCTTTCGATTTTTGCATATTTCTGAATACTTGGTGTTAATTCTTCTCTCTAGATGTATAGATGTATAGTGTTTTGGAATTTTCTTAGTCATAGATGCTTGAAAGTGTGAAGATTTTTATCTAATTGAATGTGTCAAAATCGAACATTTAAAATTTCTTGTATTTTACAAGTTCGCTTAGAATTAAACCGTCATAATTTTTAAACAAAGTACTCGCTAAATTCCCTGTTCAAAGACAAAGCACAGAGTCGCTTATAAATGGTTGAGTGCCCAACTAACAACTTAAATGTTAACGCCAATCTTAAATGCCGAACTTAAGATTCAACGGACCAAATTATCTAAGAAAAATTAGCAAAAGCCGTCGGCAAAACAAAACAAACAAAACCTTTTGGTGGGCTAAAGCAATTTTTTACTTGTTTTTATTTATATTTATATTTTCTAGTTTTGATCAGCTTTTCTAATTATTTTATTCATTTTTCAACGCCGCTGATTATCTCAGAAAAGACAGGAAAATATATGATGTGTAAAACGAAATTACAAAACATTAATCTTTTATATATATTACATGTGTATTAAATGTTACCAAAAAAATTAAATAAAAAGAAAACAGCTTTTTTGTACACAACGCGATGAACCATCTGTCGTTGACTTGCGAAGTTTAGAAGAAGAAGAGAAAGCTTTTTTTTTGTTATTAAATTGTAAAGAGAATACAATGAGAAAAACATAAAAAATACATTGACATTAGATGTCAAGAGAAATGATTAGAGAAAGGGCAATTTAAAATAAATATTTGTTCAGTTCAAATTGCGTTCGTGCATTTGTAGTGCGATCCAAGCGATCCTAAGGGTCCTATGGTCCTAAACGTACTAACAATGATAGATTTCCTCTTGTCAAGAGTTTCTTAAGCAGTCTAAATAATACTGAGCTCTTAATAGCTCATGCTTCATGCAATTCGCACTTGTATAAATATTAACTAGAAGCATCTCTATTATTATTAGGCTCAATAATTTTTTGAGCTACGTAGCATATGTTATGTACACCACCTACATCTCCTTACTTCTGAATGCATGAATGTAAATGCACAGCAAATATGGTCTCAGTTGTCAGCGATATGGCATTTAATATCGGATTATCGAATTGGAATTAAAGACTTTGGCTAGCTAGAATGAGTTATTGTTTAGGCAGTTGGGACTCTTTGTAAAAAAAGTTTCTCTTTAAGTTAAACAGATTTCTTTTCACAAAGAACTTTAAATCAGAAAAGCGAGACAGGAATGAAAGAAAGAGAAAGATTATTTGACGTTGAACTTTGCTTCTTACTGAGTTTTTTTGTATGGTTTTTTGTAGTTGTAGTCTGCTGTTTTACTGGCGACTGGTGTTCAGTTGTTTTGTGGGCTGTTTTGTTGAATCTTTTTTGTTTTTTTTGTTTTTGTGCACCGAGTGTCTGTATCTATATGTATGAGGGTTTTTGCGTGAGTTTGCTTTTACGGCGACTTCATTCATTGTCTGCGCAACTATATGTGTAGATGAATGCATATGCCGACGTATGCGTTTAATAGAAAATATCAATATTTGGATTTTTTTGTAAAAAAAGTATCCGGAATCAATTATTATACAATTTTATTTATAGTAGCTTGGTTAACCCACCGGCAAAAAAAAAATCTTTGAGCATTGGGATGATAATCAAATGTGACGGAAATTCCAAAACCAGTCTATTTACCAATTTACTCGAATTCGTTTCCAATCTGCGCTATCGAAGAATATCGAATATATTCAACAAAATTGTGTGCGAAAACTGACGGAAAAGGCTTAGAAATGCGAAGAAAAAAACCAAGGATGGCTTCGAAAAGCCATCATCGTTGTCGGCAAAGTCAATCTATTCATATCGACAAGCCATCGATTAGTTGATCTCTAAATTAGCCGTTATTAAATTATTAGGGTTCGGATTATGATGAGGGATCTACTCACGAATCTAGTGTGACATACGTTACATCGACTAAATGGCACCCCGAAGTAATCGAAGGCTATATTAAAGATGATTTATAAAAAGTGTTTTGCTGAAAGTATTGGTACCCGGTACTTTTTTGTCACCGGCTTTTAGTACAAATTTTCTACCTTTAACAAATATTATTGTAAACATTAATATAAAGACTACACTAGTAAAAAAAAAAACTTTGATATGACGCGCATTTAAAATTTGTCCTAAAACGAATTGTTTTTAATTTAAAACTGCGTTAAGTTGAAAGACCCGCCAGGCGATCGTTTCAAATTTACTTTCAATAAAAAGGAAAATAATTCCGACTTTTTTGTGGTTTAAAAACACATTAAACAATTTATTGAATTTTTGTTGAACTTTAAAGTAATCCTCCAAACATAAATAAACTCAGCGAATTTTATGCGAACCGCAAGCAACTCAATCAAGTTTGATGCAAGGCCATGAAAGCAATTCTCAGTTTGGATGAAATCTTATTCGCCTTTCAAACATAACCAACGTGTTTCATAGGCTACGAGCATGTTGTGTGCTTTGCGTTTTCAACACCAACGCTCATAAACATTTAAAGGTAAAGCAAAATTTGCTCTCGGCAGAGAAGAGCCCAGCCCGTTCGTTTCATTCGCCTTTTTTTTTTTTTTCTAGATAGTTCACTCAGTTTTTAGGTAAGAATGCACAGCAAAGTAAAATTTACTCTGAGCAACGAATTTTATTCTCTGCATTATTGCGGGGCATCCATAAGAAATATACAGCAAATACAGCAAAGTAAATTTTAAAATTGAATTTGAATTCATTTCATTTGGATGTAGATTTTTTATCGCGGGACTTGTGTTGAAAATAATATACGTTATTTTATATATTATTATATATTAAATATTTTCATTTGAAGTTGTTCAGTCAATTCAACAACAGTGAATTTAGTATAAAAGTGCAATACACGCTTAAAAACGTTTTGAAACAAATATTTAAAAAAAAAAAAAGAAGAAAACATACAATAATAATAAAACTAAGAAACATCAAGCCGTTGTTTTAGTTCGTTCACTTTAATTTAAAAAAAAAATTAAGAACGAAAAAGAAGAAGGTGTGATTTTTCGATTTTTAATTTTTTAGAAAAGTTTTTATCAATGACTTTATAAAATATGTAATAAAATGTTACGGAAAAATTCTTTAACAAGAGCAAAACCAGTTTTCTTATAAGGATGAATTCTTAATTTATATAGGCATATACATATATATATGCATATATATATTAAGCATATGTATGTTATGTATATATATATATATATATATATATATATATATTTTCAAATTTTTTAATAATTTTTGTTATAAAATTAATTATAAATTATTTATGTTTTGTTTAATAATAATAAGAAAGAAAACAAAAAAAAATTACAGTCAAAATAACTAAACGAAATTTTATTTTTCTTCTTTGTTATATTGTGCGAAAAAAACCGGCAACACATATATCAACGGATATGCATAAACGCAACTCACATGTATACACACACGCCCCGATAAATAATAAAGTAAACGGCTTTTAAAGCAGCCAGAAAACGTGCAGCATCTCTAAAACGAGTATCTTGATCTCGTCTATAATTCTTCGTAAGCAAGAAGTATAGAGCAACAACAAGAACAACAAGACAGTATAGTCACAACAAGAACAAACAACTTTAATCACAAAGCATAAGATGTCAGACGGTATCGAAGTTGAACAAATGGTTGAATCCAAACCACGAAGGGTAAGTGTTAAAAATCATCTCTTACAAGTACAAAAGACACAAAGGTGCACAAAACTCGACTCGACTTATGTGGACATAAATAGCAGCTAACCATAGTTAGCTTGTATATTGCATGCAATTCTCGTAAAAAATATTTAAATTTTACCACAATTTTCCTTTCATTTATTTTTGAGCAAGAGAAAAAACTACGCTATCAGAACGCGAGATAAAGAAGTTAAGGGTTTTATTGATTTCATTTGTAATTTATTAGGAATAAAAATTATAAAAAAATAACAAATAAAAAACAACGTCTATTGTATGTTTCAGATGTTCACCTTGATATACATAAATTATTTGCTAATTGTTGTTTAATCATGTCAGCAATTTTTGAACAGCTTTAACGTAAAAGTTGCCTTTTCTCCGCCATCGTTTTTCATTTTTCATACTTCATTTCTCATTTCTGATTTTTTTTTTTTTTCACGTCTGATACAACTGTTGAAAGTTGATAAAAAGGAAAAAAAAAAAAAATACAAAGAAAAAGAAAAAAAGAAAACTTATTATCTCTTAGTACTCATGCACACCACTTATGTGTGTCGTAATAATCATAATAATATTTTTTATTATTTCCATATAAATTTTGTTTATCTCCGTTTACGATGACGTGCAAGCAGAACAAAGCCTTGCATTGTGTAACTAAAGTATTTTGTATGGAAACAGGAAACGTACATTTTTTTCTTATACGAAAACCAAAAAATTATTTCTAAAAATATTTACACATTTTTATATTATTTTATACTTATTCTAGAGGTACTAGTAATCCAGGTCAACCGTGTTTAATATACGATTAATATCTCTCTCTGTCGGGTTAAAGTTTCAAACGGTTCATATTCGCAGCTCAATTAAAACCGATTACAGTGAGTCTCATTAATAAAATATTGGGCTCTTTCGCTCGACAAAAAGTAAACGCTTGTCAAACCTAGGGCAAGACAGGCAGAACACGTTTCCAAGTTCCTTTTTCCCGTTATATTTGCAAGTGTAACGCTATTCCACTAAGAGTTAGGCGTTTTCCTGTTACGTTCTTGTACCCATGGCTTAGGGCGAGCATGGCAGTGGAGTCGAAAAATTGCTATATTCTGGCTCTGGCAATGTAAACAAGGATATTGAAGGAATGTCTGGAAGAAACTACAGACAAATTCTACCAAGATAACAACCTCAAGCATAAGTTCCGCTTAATTCGAGAATGGCTCTTCTCCACGCTCTTCTCCAACCAACCGACATAAACCCCATCAAAAACATGTGCGACGAATCGGACCGCCATGTGTGAAAACACTCAATCTCTTCCGTCCAACATCTGAAAAATAAACTACAACAAGAATGCAGTGAAGAGTTTCCTAAACCAAACAAATTATTAAAAGTTATTATATACTGTTTTTCTCTTCGTACCCTTGCTTATGTGAAAAACCCACAAATTAATGACGCAATGTTTTTGAAGTTGTTGAAGTGATTTGCTTTTCTTATCGACTGGAATAATGTATGGAATACATATTCCCTGGTAGTAGAACATAGCCAAAAAGAAAAATTTTCATGTTTGGACTATGGACAGTGTTTAACAAGCTTTCACCTTTTGGCGAACGAAAAGGGCCAATATTAATGAGACTGACTGTGGATGAAGAGGAAAATGTCTAAACTCTACACGACAAATGTTAATTTCTTATCGCCCGCCTCTATCTATTACACACAAATAGTCAGCTAAGTATTGATATTCGTAGTACACGGTGTTTCCTAGTAACTAAAGTTATCTCCATTTTTGCGATCAACTATGCCTTAGGCAACTCAGCATTTATTGCAAGAAATCATTTTGGATTCGTAAAGACAACAATGAGCCAAATTGATTACAGATCGTATAAATAGTAATAAAAAAAACATTTATTATTATTTCCTACTTGTCGCACTAATCTAAGCGATATTTGTGCTATCACTGCAATATCGCTTTCTTCGTTAATAGGAAAAATCTGTACATTTTTAGATCATGTGTGAGAATATTTGGAGAGTTTTTTTCCACAGTTCTGTGTAAATAGACGCGATCTTAGCACTTCTAATAAAATGTTACGATGTGTTCAAAATAGTTTCATGGATTTTGCAGTGTGCACATAAGAAGAAAGTCTCACCCTATTCATGACATTCACTGGGACATTGGAAATGAAAAACCAAGAGACATGTTCGCACACAATACAAACGCAATCTTCGCAACTGTACTTAATATTCTTAACGCTTTCTTTAAAGTAACATGTGTGACAAGACAACTTATTAGTTTTTTCCATAAATTGTCGATTTGTTCAGTTAATTATAACGAAACCATATAAAACATTAAATTCGTACAAGGCTGATCATTAAATGCCTTACGTCATTTCGCTGAATACGATACGAGTTTACCGAGTTTCCTCAAAAAGTAATAGAAGCTCGTCATAGCTCGTTGCTTAGTTGTTATAACGGCACTTATATGGAAGAGCCAACATGATTTAAGCCATACAAGGCTTACATTTCAAAAAGTCCTTTTAGTAAAAAGGCACATTTTTGTACGCGATTCGAAGCAATATAAAGCTAATGTTAGTGGGAGTTCGCTGAGCTATGCGAGAGTGCCGAGGTCAGCTGTCGTTCTGAAAAGTTCATGACAGCCAGAGAGATCTTTCGAAAATGGACCGAAGTAATTTGTCCTTGATTCAATTTGAAAATCTAACCAAATCTCTCACTCACACATACATACACACGCACACAAAATTTTATTTGATCTACTGATCTCTCAAACTCAATTATATAAACGGGAGCTCTTACAGATCTGCAGTTACATATTCCATAGCGATAAAAAATTGCCATAACTTTTTCAGGAATTGCACAATAATCAGAAACAGCGGTCGTTTCACAATGAAAGCTTTTCTTCTTTCCGAACGTCTGTTATATAATTTCTTATAATAAATTTTCAACGAATTAACGAAAAAAAAATATTTCGTCCAGGAAAACTTTATAAAAAACAAAAACTCTATATTGCTATGATATGCATACACAGGCAACTGCCGTATAACGCGAAAGTTCCATATTGCCGTATTATACGAATTCGTGTTGTACGAAACAAAGAACTACTACCAAAAGGGAGTTTAGTCTTCAAAAATTAAAAACCATGCTACGATATTTGCCCCGTTTATCCACCAAAAAGTCTTCTTTGCTCTTTTATTAAGATTAGAAGGTCTTTATAAATTCGTTTACATGGTGCTAAGCACTATGTACTCTTTTCGGTCTCCATTTCAAAAATAAGACTCTAACTGTTCGGCTAAGTCCAGGCTTTTCCTTATGCCTTATGCTTTGTAGAAGTAAACTTTCTAGTAGAACTATGGGATTTCCCTCATTGCAAATGAAAAAATTCCTTTTTAATTGCTTTTTATTTTTTACGAAAGTATTGCCCAAATCCCGAATCGAACTAGCGTGAGTGCTTCTTATAGAAGTGCTGCGTTATACGAAGATTAACTATCCGCAAAAGAGATCCTCTAGTTACTTACTCAATGCAGAACGATTACAAAAAATCATTTCAAATTAAAATTTAAAACACTTTTAAGAAAAAATATGCGCGCATAGTTGAATATAAGCATTATAGCTATAATAAGTAAATACAAGTTTAATTATCGTAGCATTGATTTAATAGACTACTCCATCTACTATACAATATCGTTAAAAAGTAAAGTTAGTTGCGGTATATTATATGATTGTGTTTAAATATATATATATATATATATATGTTTGTGTGTGTGTGTGTAAGATGGAGCATAAATATTTACTTTTATAGTAATTTATATGCATTTATGCACATACATATAAATAGTGCCTGATGTGCATGTATGATTAACTTGCATTGACTGATGACTGATGACTGATTATTGCTTTTGTTGTAGTTGATGACAAATCTCCTCCGGCTCGTTTAATAATCTGTGCTCTTTGCCGAGTGTTTCGCTAGTGTTCAGAGGCTTGAGATAACAGCAGAGATTGTGTGTGAAAGTCCCCTATTTCATGTGTTCATGCATAATAATTAAAATCTATTTATAAGATGGGCTCGAAAATAACATTCAAGTCATTCAAGCGATTTCATTTTAAAGAAATTAGGTTCAGCTTAAGTCAACTTTTTGTGTTTTTCTCTACTCACCGCTTCACCGTTTTCATTGACTTTAAAAGGAAAGATCTTGAAAACAGAAATATTACGATAGCACGGCATACATGAGACATGCTACGCAAGCGTATGCTCCATCTTACCCAACACGTTGTTCTATGTGAATTCGGCTACAGCATGAAAACCTCGTCTGAATGTGAACATATAAATTTATAATTTTTAAGCGTTGCGTTATGCCAAGTGCACGGGTAAACCTAAAAATGAGCCGTGATTTACAGATACGCGGACAGCGAGGCCAAAAAGTTTATCGTCACTTGTCACATCGTTATCTTTACCATATAACGTTGTTTGTAGGTTACATAAAATGCATAAAAGTTAGGTTTTGGGAAAGTCTAACATTTACTAGCACTCATTACCTGAGGCAGCGGTTATTTGATTACGTCGCCCTGCTCTGAAGTAATCGCTGAAGTAATCTGGCTCTTCTTCTTGTAGACCCCCTTGCCAGAGATAGCGATTTGTCGTCAATTGCATTCAATTCATATAGTACTTGACTTTAAGACTGTAGTTCGATAAACGTCCTTTTTCTACCTAAGGATCAGCAGTGTGTTGTGACGGCTAGCTGAAAACACAAAGTTTCCATATAACTTTATTCGCAAGCGAACGTTGGAAACGCAATCTCTAAGTCGGAAAAGCAAATGGTTTTTTGTATGCAACTAGGTGCTGAGATGCAAGTCCATTTTACGCTCATACGCCTTTATTACGACGAAACGGTTTGGCGATTTTCATTTAAGGCCTCATAAGCGAATCGCTACAAGCTTCACCAGCTCGTGAGGCAATCTTTGATCCCAGACTTTTGTTACCGCGTTTA